CTCTCTCATCGTAATATATAAACAAAAACTCTTTTCTCTAACAAGGGTAGGAAGTACTACTTGTATGTGTAATGGAAATTTGACTTTTAGCTATAATGATTTGAAAGAATGTCATAAAAATTTACTTCTTAATAAAAGACAAATAAAACTGCGAAATATTTGTTATTGTATAAGCATTTTTTATTCACGTTTTTTTCTTTTTCAAATTTGCGGTAATGTATACTTTTATTACAATTTTTTTTTTTGTTGTAAAATTTGGATAATGTAGAATTTATTTATTTAAATAAAATAATAAATTTAAATATCTAAAGTTTGTTTTAAACATACATTTACAAAGTAATTTTAAGATCTCTAAATAAATAATCATTAAAAATATTTGATTTATATTCTTAAATAAATTTTAAAAATATTAAAACGATATTTTGTTGTTAATTTTTCCTAAAATAATATAAATGAAAATACTCAATATTTAATTTTTATTTTTGTCAATGTTTTTTATTTTATCTTGGATTAAATTCAAAATGTAAACATTTAATTTTATTCCGTATAATTGTTTTTAAAACAAATACGTTTCTACTTGCTGTTGTATTTAGAAAAAGCTTAGCACTGTGCTGATTACAATTTCATATAACTTTTACAAAATAATTCTTAATATTTACAATACATACATATTGTATATTTGATAAAATATACTCACGTTTAAGGCAAATTTATCTTTTGCACAAAAAATTAAAATGAATTTTCCTTCGTATTTAATTATGAAACTTTCTTTTTAAACTTTCTTTAGGTGTGAAATAAAAAAAAATTCAGATATATTCAAATTCAAAAATACTAAAAAAGTTAACAGTATTTTTTTATATCTAAAAAATTATATTAAAGATTAATTTTGATGAAAACTGAAAACTGAAAAATAAAAAAAATATCTATTAAAAATATTAAAAAAATGGTATTATGAATCCCCAAATAATTTTTAAAAAAATTATTAAAGAATATAAAAATGTCAAATAAATAAATATAAAATAGCATAATACAAAATAAAATGAATTAAAATAAAATAAAATAAAATAAAATAAAATAAAATAAAATAAAATAAAATACATTGAAATAAAATAAAATAAAGCAAAGTAAATTAAAATAAAATAAAATTAAGTAATAAAAAAATAAAATAAAATAAAATAAAACAAAATAAAATAATAAAATAAAATAAAGTAAAATAAAGTAAAATAAAATTAAATAATATAAAATAAAATAAAATAAAATAAAATAAAACAAAATAAAATAAAATACAATAAAATAAAAAAAATAAATAAAATAAATAAATAAAATATAAATAAAATTAAAATAGAAATAAAGTAAAAATAAAATAAAAATAAAATTAAATTAAATTAAAAATAAAATAAAAATTAAATAAAATAAAATGAAAATAAAATAAAAATAAAATAAAGTAATATGAAAAATAAAAAAATTACTAACATGTAAATAATAAAATAATAATAAAATAAACTAATATGAAAAACAAAAATAATCCCTAACATATAAAAAATAAAATTAAGCTTAAAATATAAAATTAAAAAAAATAAAGTCTATTATATAAAACACCTCCATCATTAAAAAACAAAAAATTAAATACAATTAATAAAAAATCAAATATATATAATAAATACATATGTCTAAAATATTCAACGAATATATAATTTCAAAATACAAAAAAAAAATTATAAAAAAAGTTTTTAAAGAATTATTTGAATTTTTAATTAAAAGATATTTCATATGGCTTTATTTTTAAAATATTAAAAAAATCATCTTCAAGAAACTGACAATTATTTAATAACAAATTTATTTAACTTAATGAAATTTAGCGTAAAGTTCTTAATTGTAATATAATTATTTTAATAAAAGCATAATATTTAATAAAAGTAATTTAATGTTTTTTATATAAATAATTTTTTATATAAAAAATAATTATATATTTTTATAATGAATTTATAACTATACATAGTATACATGTTATTTAATAAATAAAAAAATGTACCAATACTTTTTAGATACTCCATGAAATAAATAAAGAAAGCTTTGAAATAAATAAAGAAATTACAATTAATGTTAATGTTTATTCACTTTAAATAATTTATTTAAAAACTATTGCTTAAAAAATTACATATATATTAAAACATTATTATTAAACTATATAAGCAGTTGTTAATCAAAGCAAACTAAAATAATATAAAAATATTTTTAAGTTTTAATGTATTATGCGTTATCAGACTATAGTTTTTAAGATAAATAAAGATATAAACAAATATTTAATTTTAATTTAATTAACTGCTATGCAGGCAGTATTATTAGTATTATATTAGTAGCGTAACATAGGTATAGATAATTTTTCGCTTTAAATATACTTTTGAATAAACCGAATTAAAACAAACTTCACTTGGAAAAGTCTTTTAAAGATGGGTTTAAGTAAAAAGTGTTGCATAAATAAAAATCGTATATATTATACATTTATCTATTTATCTTCTAGTTATATAAAACACAATATCATTAAAAATTATAAGACTTATTATTAACATTATTTTTATATTAAAATTAATTATATTTAATGTATAGAAAATAAAATTAGTAGTATAATAAAAATAATCTTAAAATTAATATTAAATATTAATATTAATATTTAAAGATGGGTTTAAGTAAAAAGTGTTGTATAAATAAAAATCATACATTTATCTATTTAAAAAAAACAAGATTTCTAGTTAGATAAAACATAATATAATTAAAAATTATAAGATTTATTATTAACATAATTTTTATATCAAAATTAATTATATATAATATGTTAAAAATAATATTAGTAATATAATACAAATAATATTAAATAAAGAAATAAAATAAAATATTAATATTAATATTTAAAGATGGGTTTAAGCAAAAAGTGTTGTATAAATAAAAATCGAATATTTATCTCTTTTTCAAAAGAAAAAACGACTTCTTGTTAGATAAAATACAATATCATTAAAAATAATAAGATTCATTATTAACATAATTTATATATTAAAATTATTATATTTAATATGTAGAAAATAATGTCAGTAATATAATAAAAATAATATTAAAACATCAGCAATATAAAACTAATAAATAAAATAAAACAAGTTTGATATTTCTTATTTGTAGTGTTCTTGATCTTTATTATGAAATATTTATTTTTATGACTTGATGAGCAGTACTTTTTAAACTGAAAACATTTTAAATAAATTTTTATGAAAAACAGCGAATCGATATAAGATAAATTTAAATTTCAAAACAAACATATCTCATTTGCAGATAGTAAATTAGTTTTAATTTTTTAAATTTTCACTTGGGCCCCTTTCACAGTCATAGGCACATACGTGTATATATGGTATGTTAAAATTAAATTTTTAACAATGAAGTGATGCTTTCTCAATATAATATACAAATTTTGTTCAAAAACCAGCTTATAAATCACAAATCCTTTTAAAACACGCATATTTTTTCTTCATACATTTTATCATTTATCATTTATCAGTTATCATTTTATCTTTTAATATTTAATTTATTATTTTCACTAATAATAAATTTTTGTATAATTTAGTTTTTTACAGTCTCATTGTATTAGATTAATTTATTAATTTTAATAAATCTTCTTGTTGTTGTGCTTGTTCCAAAGTATAAGTGGGACTTTTATTAAATTAGCAAAATATATATTTTATTTTGGTTCGCAAATATTCTTTTTGTTTGCGTTTTATAGAAAATCTATAGCATTTTTTTCTTTAACACATTACTCAATAAGTCAACGATCTAAATAAGTACAACAACAAATTTGACATTATTCATCAACATAGGCAACATAGAAAGGTAATAAATTTATTCCAACGCCTCTATTACTTTTCGATGCCTTTTCATAGAACGATTTGATCTGCTTTCAAATTAAACTACAATTTTGGCAATCACTTTACGGTCTTTCAAAACTATTTGTGGATTTATTTATGTTCTCCGGAACAACTGTCGATTTTATAAAACTGTTTTTAAAATTAGCATATCAGGCAGTAATAGCTGATGTCTGTGTAACGTTTATTAAGTCAGTTTGATTTCAACAGTATTATTCTGCTTCAAAAAATACTGTTTATTCAATAAACGATATTCGATTTTATCTATAGGTGTTTTATCTATTACAGAACTGCCGTTACCGAAACCACTGTAAACTGTAATTATAATTAACAGAATGTGATGAATATTGGACATGTATTGTTTGAAGAATGCTGCTCTCCAAATATCATTTGTCTACACTGTTGCCATATATGTATTAGATCGAAGTCTTATTGAGCGATGTATATAAAAATTTAAATTATGTAAATTAAGTGTTTGTAAGTGTGCTAAGTGTTTGTAAATTGAAATGAACAATATTATAATAAAAACTCGATATTGAAATGCAAATTAATATTTAAATCCGAAATATATTTACATAAAATTTAGGATGATTTCGAATTTTGAATTATAACATTAAAAATGATATAAATAATATATTTTAAATATTGTATATAAAAAAGAAATTGCTTAGAATTTTGCTTACATTATTTTTCATATATATTATCGAAGTATGTATATTGTGTAGTGCAAATAGCAATTAATGTGCGGTTTATTTGCTGGAAAAATTGTTCCTTTATTTTATAGAAGTTTTATTGCTTTTGTTAAATATTCAAGATATTTTTTATTTTAAAATTATTATTGTATTGCTTTAATGATATTTTAGTTTAGATACTTTTAAATTCAAAAAAATTAAATTTTAATAATACTTATAATAGAACGTAATTAAATATAACAAGAGAATATTTAGATTTTTTTAAGACTATAAATCCTAATTGCACTATTTTTTAATATATTTTGCTTTCTATACACACTTCAAAAGCTGCAAACGCAACTGTAAAGCCCGTCTTAACTTTTACTTTGTTTTTGTTTTTAGTTTTTATGCACTTGTTCTTTAGTTTTTTTTTTTTTACTTTAAGCTTTAATAGTCAAGTCTGTCCGTTGTCGTTGTATTTGTCGATGAAGTTGTTGTTGTTTTTGGAGAATCGAGATAAATTTTTAATGCACGTTCACGGCGGGGTGAGTACGATGATGTTGTAGATGAGATACAACCCATACGATCAAGGCGATGTTTTTCTTTGGCGCATAATTCAAATCGCTCCTCTGACGACAGTTCTTTTGTTTCTTCCATTGCATCTCTATTACAAAAAAACAAAAAATACATGAATGAATGGATCGATAGAACTCTTTTAGCACAGTAATTGTACTTTAAAATTGCAGGACTTACTTGTAGAAGTAAATATTACCACTAACCGTTGCAGAAAGTGGATATTTATCTATTGTCACCGGTATTGATGTCCAGCTCATATTAGTATTAATACTCACTAGTGATATATTTGTACATGGGAAGGAACTGTTCACCTAAAAATATTAAAAATACAACATTAGTATTTCATTAAATTTCATTAAGTGATTAATGAAATTTTTATTACTTACTTTACAATATGAAATGTGATCAGTTTCGATACCAGATAATTTAGATAATGTTTCCCTCAACTCGTCATCCTCTGCAATATAAGAAAAAAATATATAAATGTATACGAATAATGGATAGAAAAGCTTATTAAAAAAAACTTATATATCGAATTTATACATAACCTTAGATAATTTCATTACTTACTATTTAACGTTATTTCTTCGAATTTTCCCAACTCCATTTTAGCTGGATACCATCTTCTTACGAATAGCGTTAAACTAACTTCATGCGGTTGTGGGCTAATGCCATTTTCACATTCTTGCACAAGAAACTAAAAAAAATTATATAAATTATTTTTATAATTATAACTAGGTACACAATAAAGCATATACATACTTCTGATTCAATTTTAGATCGCAGGTCACCAACTAATGGTTCAGTATCCTCTAAAATCTTTACGGGATTTCGACCACCTTTAAGCCACAAACGACAATTGTCCATATTTAGGGAAAGATATTTATCATCGATGCGATGCAATTTTGATATAAGTTCCTTCTTAGCTTCTGTTACAGTCGTTGTTGTATTGTAGACCCATTCGCATACGCAAGGCAATTTGACGGTTTCGTTGTTTAGCTCTGATAGACGCATAAACGATATTTTCGCTTTTTGTTCATCTGCTTCGAGCGTTTTGCCTAATTCTATATAAACTGTTTCAGCTTCATTCAATACGAGTAGAGAGTGTGCTGTATTAAACGCATCTGAAGAATCATGTTTTCGTTGAAATCTAAAATAATTGATCGGTACCCTTATTAAATTTTCTATATACTTTTTAAAAACACTGATTTTCATATGCGAATTTGCTAAAATTTTATATGCTTGTGTCGGTTTCCGTGACAAATCCTCTGATGAGTCGGCATCACAATGAGGATAGTTACTACTAACAGCATCAGGCGAATCAATTTTAATAGCAGAAAAAAATGACGGTGTGTTATAACTGGAACTAGTGTCCATTTCTGATTGAGGTGGCAAAAATTTACTGAAATAAGCTGCCACACGTTTCATTGATTCACTATTCATCTCATCTTCTGGACTCGATAATTGCGGTGAATGACTGCAACTCGATATCTGACTATCACCGCCACATCGATTTTGTATGGATTCCACTAAAGTGCGGTCTCCATCACTTAAGCTGCTATCTTCTGAATTTGATTCTTGACCAGTTAAACCAGTAAGAGTTTGTGGTGGTAGTGCCGGTTCTCGACGTAAGTAATCATTAGTTCCTAAATTATATAGATTATCACCCATAGCACCCACATATGTAGCAGCATTCATAGGAACAGCGTCAACTACATCAGAAGATACCTCAATTGTGGGGGTCTGTGATT